GAGGAACTTATTTTTTTATCAAATATGAGGTTGATATGTACACTCATCAAAATTGATCATTAATTAAATAAAAGTGATTAGGATTGCTAATACATTTTAATGTGGAACTCTAAATTAATTATATACTCTAACATGAGAATCCTATTGGATGTTGAGAATTTAACTAAAACCTAGTGAACAAAAGGATTAAAAAAAGCTCAAATTTATAGATGTTGATTCATAGTGAACTAATAAGTTAAGTTTTATATTATTGCCTAAGAATGTTATTGGTTAGCATGTCATCTCGGCTCTTAACCATAGCATTAAAAACAAGAACTATATATTTAATAAATCTTTGATTTCATGCTTATTTTTCTTTGTAAATCTTCTTTTTTACAAATTCATAGCAAATTTGTTAGCGGTGGGCTTTGAAAGATGCTTGCAGCATTATAATAGAGAATTAATTGTAGTTGATTAATGCACTTTATAGGCCCACAATAATCAATATATTGCAAATTAAGTGTAATTATCTAAGGAATTTCCTTTTTGGACACAAGATTTAATTTAATTATGGGGGTTGATATTTCACAAAATAATAAACTCTTAAGGTTAATTCTATTATGGATGTGTGTTTTCGATTAAATGATCAATGCTTGTATTCAGATCAGGTATGACCGATGTAGAGCTAATGAGGTTAAAATTAGAATGTACTTTGTGAAGACTTTCTATAAAGGGAAGAACATCGTAAAATCAACAAAAATAGATTTAAATGAATTGAAGACCCAACAGAGGGATTTATTGCTCCATATTGACTATAGGGAGATATTAAAGACTGGACCTATGATGCAATGAGGTGATACTCATCCAAAAGAAAATTATTGAGCGGATGTTAAAAAGTGAGAACTATTGATCTACTGAGTGAGAATGACGCCCTTGGTCAAGATCTCATAGTTGTCTTAGTGTTAGTCGAGTATTAGTGTTGATTTTAGATCCATCATATTCTAAAGTACAATCAATGGTTAGCCAAGTACCTTGAATCAATCTTTGAGGAATAAACCAAAACGCTCCTTTGAGGAATAGCAGATATCTCAAAGCATATAGATTTTTTACATCCCATGTTGAACAACATTTTGTTAGTTACAACATGATTATCTAGAGGAAAGGAAAACAAAATAGGCACATCAAAAATTTAGGTCTAAAGAGAGACCCAAAGTAGCAACTCCATTAATAATTATTTTCCCTTTTTCTCAATTATCTCTAATTAAGGAAGCTCTAGAAGGACAAACTAAAGAAGAAGATAATTAGTCCTAATATAGTCCAATATTATAAATGCTCAATAACTTGGGATGATAAGCATAAAATAACCTTAAACAATAGTTTAATGGATAAATATGTAAATGATAAATATATTGACTCGAAGGTAGACACTAGATGAAGTATACTAAGCTTAGATATAAATAATTCAGAATCAAATAGTAGATAAAGTAAATCAACAATAGATAGATCTTATTTAGTACTCTCTTTTTACCATTTAAAGAAATTGATCAATAGATAAATATGAAAGAAAGAATGTTAGAATACATGATTAAAATGATGGTTGTCATGTATGACCTACCCCAAAATCTATCATTAATGAGTTTATAACTAAATTAAAATGTTCATAGATATATGAGTTTAAGATAGGTGGGCAAACTATGAAAACACATGCATCAACATCAAAGTTGAGTAAAGGTGACCTCAAAACACTTTTAGATCAATGATCAAGGCTTACATTGCCCAATCACATATGTCATTTTTTATTTCAAAGGGTATATCATATCTAGAGGAGTACTATAGTATCTAATGTCTATAAGGATCAATGCCACCTTAATTAAAGATTTTTTATAGCACTAGCAACCTATGCCAGCGTGTAGTTCATTTTAGAGCTAATTATTACAATGCGAGGAAAAATGATGTCTTACTCGTTTAACAATTCTGTAGAAGTTCTACAAATACATCATTTGATTAGTATGCAAATTTATTAAATAACTACATATATTTATAAATTTAGAAGACTGGTTCATAAAAAGATTGTTTTAAGCTCGATACCATGTGACAATATGCTATTTAGTGGTTGATGGAAAAAGCTAGGAGAGTTCATTGTTAATTACATCCTCATGTGGCTAAATCTCAATATGAGTGAGAGCCAAAATTGAGGAAGAAACTCAATAGTGATACTTCTAAAAAAATAACCATGGCCTAATTTGTAATGCCCAATAATATCGTTTTGGATGACTCTGTACGTAGATTGTAATTATTACCACTAGTAATATGAATTAAATTGGTTATATTTAATACAATTAATCAGCTCTGAAAGTTTGTATTGATCTGGATATCCAAATTGGAAAAAAATGAGAAAGAAAATAAAATTCTTTCACGTTATATCATAGGGCATGACGCAAATGCACTTTCACTTGAGGGCTTATCAATTAAAAATCTTTAAAAAGCATTTAACCAAAGTTTCCAATCTTTATCAGGCATAATAGTAACTATTGTCATTGGAGACAGTTTGAGTGACTTCAACAATAAAAAAATATAAGTCAATGCACACATTTAAAAAGAAGAAACTATCATAATCTAGCTTGACAAACTCAAAGAGAAATAAAATATTGTAATTGATCCAACCCTATAGTTAAGAAATACAACCAACAAGAAGTTAGAAAATAAATTTATTGTTCTTATGAACAAGCAATATATTTTAAAAATAATTTTCTAAATAATACATTCAATAACCTCCACAATAAGGTTTTCAACTTCTAGAACCTTAGGAGTCAAAAAGAGATGGTTCAAGTTAATAACTCCTTCATTCATAATCTCTCTATGCCCTCTCTCTCTCTCTCTCTTTTCTTCTTTTTGCAATTAGATCCCTTTGACTCAAAGATAGCTTAAAAGTTTATCTTTGACTCAATTCAAACACAATTTAATAGTCAAGAGTAATGATCTAATAATTCCACATGATAAAACATAGCATATTCATCATTTTTTTTAGTACTCCCCATAATTAATCACTTGTGATTGCATTTAATATTTTTCTTTCAATCTTTCTCAGTCTAAGTAAAAGGGCATTACATGTCTCAATTTGATCATTCAATCTTGTTGCTCTATCAATGAAGACTTCAAAGGTCTTTTAAAAATATTCCAATTCTAGAGAGATACAATTCCTTGGTTTCCTTCCAAATGAATAGCATGTTAATGCCACATAAAGGCCTATATATCAATCACATATTCAAATTTAGTTGGTATGTCTTTGTAGAGTAAATCTAGAAGTCTAGAAGGCTAAGGCCTTCCTACAAGAATAAAAATTTCATATTTGTAGATGTTCCATAGCTTATACCCAAATTTTTTCATATGAGTGGATCAAATGAGTTCATTTTATTTCGACTCAACTCATTAAACAAACAAGCCAAATTTTTATGTTTGTTATTCTACTCGTTACCTTAATGAGCTGAACACGAGCTATTTACGAACATAATGTCTTCACCATAAATCTAGGGTCATGAAATAGAGAGACTTTACTCCATTGACATTGGGGATGGAGATTTTAGCCTTTATCTTATAAGCCTCCCCACATAGGAGATTTCAGAAATAAGAGGAACACAGTTATTTTGAGCTCATTTTTGTAACGAGACGAACACAAACATAATGTTTACGAACAACCTTAATGCGAGCCACTTTCAAACAAGCAAACAATCTAATGATTCAAACACAAACAAGTCATTCACTCAAGCTCGGCTCATTTACAGTCTTAGGCTTCGTTTGGGACGACGTTCTTACTGCTTCTTAAAGCAACTTTCTAGTACTAAAAAAATTAAATTTTTGTGCTAAAAAACTGCTTTCAAAAGCAGTAAGAAAGTCGTCCCAAATGAAACCATAATTGTTGAGAATAGTGATGGAAGGAATTCCCAAACCACCTTTTATTCTTAATGGTGTAAGAATTATCCCAAGAAATCAAATCAAACTTTTTTTGGACCACCACAATAAAAGAAAATCAGAGATCTAATCAACTTTTTAAATGAAGTCATTTAGGAGAAACAACGCTATGACCCTCAAATAGAGTTTGTCAGCCAATTAACCATCAGGGAGCTTTTGAATTGTCTCCATCAAATGGTCACAGTACCTGAGGACAAAGATGCTAACAAAGAGAAATACCAAAGCAAAGGAAGGGGAGCCAAATCAATCAAAATTGAGGATGGGAATAAAAAAAGCCAAAATTCCAGTCCCTTTAGAAAAGCAAAAAAGAACTCTATAAGTTATCAATGTGAGATCATGAAACATCATATCCTTGCGGTACATAAGCTTATATTGCTCAACCTCACCAAAGTCCAAAATATCTTGTGTAGAATTAGTGCCAGCCCTAGCAATAATATCTTATGTGTAGAATTAATATCCAAGAGGAAATACTTGAGTTCTCAAGCAACCCTAGCAATAATTAGTAAAAACAACGAGAATAATATGAAAATCTGGATGAAATCAATCCAAAACGATGATTGCAATAATGGAATCAAAGCAAAGCAAACACAAAGCAAGATACAATTGATCCTCAATTCGAGAGGAGGATCGTTCTCTCCCAACCTCTAGACGAGGAGTCTAGAGCCCAAGACGCCAAGAAAACTTCAAGAGACACAAATCTAAGCTTAACCGTAACCCTAAAACACCTCATATTATTTAATACATAAACTTTCTAAATTCAAACTCCCTCCAAAACCCTAGCCGCCCACTCCTTTCTCCTTTAGGATTTTTTGAAAAGTGGGACCCACTATTGTGGACGGCAAAGAGGGGAGGAGGCGGTATTAGTCCGCCTCCTATATACCAAAACCGGCCCTGGGTGGGCCGGTTTCAGGGTTTGGGGCCGGTTCAAGAGGAACCACCCTAACATAAAGATTCTTCATCGATGCATTTTCTTTTGTCTAAAAATTAAACAATATTCTTCATCATTAACATAATAAGAACGATACCTGAAGCAATTGCAGCCAAAGAAGACGTTGATTTACTCTTTGAAACTTCTTATAAATGCATTCTTGCATTCTGTTATAATAGAAATCCTTATCTGTAGCAGTGGAGCGAGAAAAGGTCAACTAGTAACAATGAACATCTTCTGACTCTGACCCATTCTTTCTAAGTTAAATAGCCTGGGCCATCTATCTACAAGTTCTGACACAACAATTCTACGATATAATTTGCTTTATCCTTGAACGAGATCCACCTGCACTAAGGTTGGGAAACTGTATATCATGGTAAATAATATAGGCAGAGTCATTCAATGTCCTCCCTCATCTACAACACAGCAATTCTCCATTAGAATCCTCTTCATGTGATCCACTAACTCCTCCATCTGCTTTCTCGAATGAAGGGGAGAAGGATACACACAGACAGAGTCAAGCTGTCCATTCCTGATTGTATCAAATAAAGCAATTGATGCACCAACACCATGCACGGATGCACATCCCAAAAAATCCTCCACCCCAAGACCCTTCAACTGCTCCATCGGAGCATAGTCCACTGGTTCTTCGAAGACTGAGATGAGTGCAGTTCGTAGAGATGATGCAGGTGTGAGGTGGGGGTTCTCAATTGCCTTACACATCAGAAAGTTCAGTTCGCCAATGTCTGAAAGGTGTTTCTTGTTCTTCATGGCATTTGAATAAGCCTTGTGGCATCTCATAGCGACGTCCCAGAATCCTTCTCCTCCATTAACAGTGTGTGTGTTTAAGATGCCAGAATGGTAGAATCCTGAGATCATATCAAGTCAGTGTAGATGCTGACAATGAAAGAGTAGTTGGTTTGAAGAAGCATGAAGAGTTACCACTTACCAACATGTTTTTCGTTCAGAGGGGGGTTCAAGTATTGCCTGCAATCAATGAGAGTGATGACTGAATAGGTTTCGGACTGATTTTTCTGTAGATTTTTGGAAGCATGGGTGGCAAGAAATCCAGCAGATGTTAGAGCTGAACAGAGCTTGATCCCCTTCACATCACAGGCCTGCATTTTAAACTAGATTAATCATGACCGGTAATCCTTCGTTTTACCCCCACTGCACTTTATGACTTGAGAAAAACATAATGTACTATTTTATGCCTGGGGAAGCCTTGTCCTTTGCATTATATCATTGTACAATGCACACCAAAAGTAGGTGTTAAGGGCACTCGGTCCCAATAGACACCTTATACGTCTGGGGATATACTGCTGCTCTTAATATTTGTTGACAGTATAAGAAAAAAGGAAGGGGATGAGTAACTAAATCTCAAACCCTTCAGAAGATTGCTCAAAATGAGTAATTCATATTGAGGGAAACAACAATCTAAATTAAGCGATAAGAATGCCATTCTTTGTTTTTAAAAGATAGTAAGCACCTACGTTGCTCTAGAACGAACTAGAAAAGATAACGAGACTTCAATATAGCATTTGGCTTGCTGTATTCATAAACACTCTATCTAACCAAGTACAGTTCATAAACACAAGCCACGGATCCCGGAGTAGCAGCAAGAGACTAAGGAAATTGATTCAGACTTTTATTTGAAGAAATATTATGTTGTTTCTAATAGGGTCTTTGATTTGATATGTTCTCTCTCACACCAAGATACACAACATAGCATTAGTAGTTGAGATTTAGATAATCAAAATAAGGGTCAAATTAGATATTACATAGATCACACTTCAATATTGTTTTGCTGAAACAAAAAAAAATAAAAAATAACCGTAATCACCATTAAATATACTAAATAGCATTGAATTCTTTAAAGTAGCATCTGATACTAAACCGAACACATTACATTTGAACGAGAGCACTGCTATTTGCATGGCATTAATACCAAGATAAAGTATTATATAAAATGAACCAAACAGATCGTAAAACAAAATCTAATTTAGCACGATTTGAATTTACCAATGCCTAATATGCTTTGAGCTGGATCAACTGAACCTTGGACTAGCTAGGAAAATTGCAAAAATAATTCACATTAAACTGAACAAATCAATGCAAGAGTAACTTGCCCCAAATTGGACAGGTCTTCTTCCATGCTAGTTGGCATGCATATATGAGGCTTCTAGAGTTGTAAGTCAATATTTTGTCCTCCTTGCACCATCAACATCATTCGATCGAGCTAATGCGACAAACTAAGATTCAATAGATAGCACAATCTCCATGAAATCTTCAGCTCACTACTCGATTCTTCAAAACATTGCTGGAGATCAGAGGGTCGATAGCACCCAAAGACCAACATTAAAATAGGAGCCCACTAATCAATTGCGTTGGAAGTCTTGTCTATGTTTGATAGCCCCAAAACAAGCATCCTATTATCACCCTCTCTTCTCCTTTATTTTTTCTTCTTTTCAAGGTCTCTACCCTTAAGCTTTCTTTACTAAATCAAAACATTTACATGACTCTTAGGTGCCAAACTCCATATTAACAGTTTCTTAGTGCATTCATTTAGATAAGACAAGTTAAAGCAAACAATGAGTTGAAGATCCCAAAGAAACTTTTTCCCTTGCGGCTACCCTGCATAAAGTTATCGAAAAATTGACGGCTATGATGATCTAGGCAGATATTGCCAACTTCAACCAACCGCTTCTCGCCAACCAGGTTCCCTCCTTTCTCTTCTACGAGAAAGAGAATCTTAAAGAGGTGCAAAGATGCTAGATTATAGGTGGGTCTAAATCCAGATCACTAATGAAGATTGGTAAGGATTGTGCTACTTGCATCTTCTTTGGCGACCAAGATCATGAGAGATCCGTATCGCATGAAAATCAACATTTTGTTGATCAACACTTGTAGGAGTGTCACCAACTCAACACCTTGCCAATTTTGAAATCATGATGATCTTACAAATGATCTCTGACATTATCAAGTGTCCTGAACAACTAACAATTCTGAAGGATGCCATCCTATGATGGTTTTCCAGGCTTTTTGCATATAGTATCAACTCTTTTTGACAAGATCAAGTGCCAAATAAATGCCTATTCAGTTTCTATAAGCTAATGAGATATTAGACCCTTAGATATGCTCAACTGGAGGAGAACAAATCTTTGAGAGGCTAAATAAATAATTTGAGGCTTTATAAGCCCAAAATAAACATCCATCCATTTAAAGGCGGCCCTTATCCAAGGATTAGAAATTGGTAGGAGACCTAAGCCACCAAATTAGTGTATAGCATACAAAATATATTAGAGATAATGACAAACATGCTGTCCAAGAATAAGAAGTACAATAATATTGAGGAAATTAGTAAGAGACCAAAGTTACCCCTTACGTGACATCAAGGCTGCAAATAAACCAAGCTGAGCCGAGTAGGTGTCCGTTTATATTTGAGTTAGTTTATTATCAACTTGTTCAAGCTCAGCTCGAGCTTGATTCGAGCTCTTCTGTTTTTGTTCAGCCTTGGTTCATTTAAATTAATAGATGTTCATGTTTGATTTTTGTTTGGTTCATGTTCGATTCATTTTGTTCTTAACGAGCTTTAAATAAATAAGCTCTAATTTTAGATATCCATTAACTTAACAAACGAATCTTATCGAGCCTACTCACAAACAATTGCTTCAAATCTGTTCACGGATATGTCTAATGAGTATTTTCGAACTACCAAAAAAGCATGTTAATGAACATATCTCGGAGGTGTTTTCAAGCTACCAAACGAGCATGTTCACAAACATATCTAGTAAGGGCAATCAAACAAATCCATTCACAAATAAGTCCATGTCACTCTCCTATTTTATTCAATATAAATAAATAATAATATAAAATAAAAAATAATTGTAATTAAATTATACAAGATATTTATGATTTATTTTATTAATATATACTATAATATTTAATTAATTTTAAATTTTATTAATTAATAATTACTATATCATTAAAATATAATAAATATAAAATATTTATATTAGGTATATTCATCAATTTTATAATCAAACATTAACTGAATTTTTAACGTGCTTATTCATGTGCTCTGTATCGAATAAAAATCGAGCTTTTATAGAGCTTCTTATCAAGATTCATGTTGAGGTTGTTCAGGAGCTTTAAACAATATTGTTCATGAACATATATGAATCAAGAACATAGCTGTTCAAACTTGTTTGTTTAAGCATAAAGTATTTACAAAAATGTTCAAGCTTGTTTTATTGTTTAATGAAATGATCAGAAACGAGCTTTAATCGAGCCGAGCCATGAGTAGCTCGTCGAATGCTCAGTTCATTTACAGCCCTATGTTCCACTTCACAATATCAGTCATCCCCTGATGAAAATATTACTAAAACCTGAGCATTTAGGGAGTTTACAAAGAGCTTGGCTAATGTTGGGCAGTTGAGCACCAATATGTTATAAGGGTGACAAGGAAATATTGGGTTTTAGCAAACTTCATCTCCAACTTCACTCAAAGTTATTTGGGATTGAGAGCAAATTTATTGAAAAACAATTTCTCAGCTCCATATGGAGATGGTGAAAAATTGAATAGTAGAGATAATTAGTATGATAAGCCTTTAAAATTTATTGGAGCCAAAGGAAGGGCGGCAAGGGCCTTTAGGTCTTTTTGTCTTATTGTTTTAATTGTATGCCATAAGTATGGGAGGGAGATTAGGGTTAGAGTTATGTTTTGATTATTGTGTTCTTCTGACAGTTTTTATTGGTGTCTTGGGCTCTAGACTCATCTAGAGATTGGGAGAAATGATCCTCCTCTCGAATTGAGGATCAATTGTATCTTTGTTTTCGTTGTTTCCGTTATTTCTCTCTTTTGCAATCCAATTACGACTTGGAGAGCTTTCGCATCAAGCCCGCCGATGTCCTCTCATCGGGCATGACCGCGTGAGTTCTCGCCTCCCTTCTCTCCATCTTCTGGCATGGCAATTATCGACCTCTAGCAATAAGGCATAGCACTTTTTTCCCAAACTCCAAGGAAATACCATAAGCATTAAGCTGTTGGGATTAGGCAAGCAATTATGCTAGAATTTATATTCTCTTAGAGAATTTGATTCTGGCTATAAAAATTAGGAAGAGCCCTACTTAATCTTGTTTTGCAAAAAAAGTAGAACTCTTTTATGTGAAGATTTATTTTTTATGCTGTTGTGATTATAGTTTTTTTTTAGTTTGTCTGCTTTGATTGTTTGTAGATAAATGATACTAATTGTATGAATTTATATTTCTTTTCAAGCTCTTCAGCTTATTAAGAATGTGGCCTTTATTTTCAAGCTATTTATACCTATAAATTTTTTTATGTATTTTGCTCGCTTTGTTTATTATTTAGCTCTTCTAGGATTAGATGGGGCACTTAAATAATATTAATAAAAATATTTTTGAGAGTAAGATTCTAGATCTTAAGATTTTGTCTATGCATGAGGATGCTAATATTATGTGAAAAAAAGTAGCTAGTGATATTAAGAATATTGCAAAAGATGTGCTTGGAGTATCAAAGGAAAAAACTCCTAATAGTAAAAATAGTTGGTGGTGGAATCCAAATGTGCAAGAAAAGATTAAAAATAAGTTGTTATAAAAATTGGTTTAATTGTAAAAACTCTGATAATTGGAAAAGATATAAAGAGACACGTAAGGAATCTAAGAAAGCAATATGTAATGCAAAGACCCTAGCTTTTAATGATTTATATAATAGATTAGATACTAATGAGGGAGAAGATATATGTATAAGCTAGTCAAACAAAAAGATAGTAGTAAGGATTTAGTTTAATTGAAGTGTATTAAGGATGAAGATCAAAAAATACTTTTCTTAGAAGATGATATTCAACAAAGGTGGATGAGATATTTTGCTAAACTTTTTAATGAAGATGTGAAAATACAATTGACTTTAGTGACCTTAGCACCTTAAATGAAAATAAAAATTTCGGTTTCTATCGGCGTATTAGTAAAACCGAAGTTAGAGAGGCTTTAAAGAAAATGAATGGTGAAAAAGCTGTTGAACCTGATGATATTCCAAAGCCTTAAGCCCATATCTATTTGCTTTAGTCATGGATGTTCTCACTTAGACATTTGCAAGAGG